AACTCCAACGCGAAGTAGTCATCACCGTCGCCAACAACCAAAACCTGCGCACACGACGACAAGGAGTGGTTCAACTTCAGTCACGAGAAACAAATGTCATACTGCAGATGTCGAAGGTCTTAAATAGCAGAAGGCCTCGGCTACAACTTACTCAGCGTTAGTCAACTGATGGCGAAAGGTATCCACCTCGAAGCAGACAGCACCACCCAGGAGTTCAAGCTGTACCACGGGAAGGGCGGTCTCTACATCGGGAAGGCAGTCCTGAAAAATAATGTCTTCGTCCTCGACTTCGTTCCAGATCTCGGCACCGCAGACAGCGACGGGATCGTCGCCTTCACCTCTTGGTCACATCCACCGGATCTCGACCCAGACTTCAGTCCAGAAGGCTTCTGGTATTCACATACCATTCCTGAAGCAGAAAGAACAAGAGCGTTAGCGACAATTCAACATTCGGCAGCAGCAGAAACAACACCGGCAGCAGCAGAGACAACATCGGCAGCAGCAGAGACAACATCGACAGTAGCAGAAACAACACCGGCAGCAGCAGAGACAACACCGGCAGCAGCAGAGACAACATCGGCAGCAGCAGAGACAACAACAGCAGTGGCAACAACGACACCAATCGCTGGTCCTTCAACGGCACCAATCTTCACCGACGATACATCACCAACACCCGCGCAGCAGCTAACTCCGACTCAACGAGAAGTCCACCGAAGCACCAACTTTACCGCCGGTTTCTACTCCAACTCCGACATGTATCGGCGCTCACCTGGACATCGCGCCACCGAAGGAACCTGGCACGCAAGAATGGGTCATCCAAGCAACACGGTGTTAAATAACACGATAAGAGCAGGCGTGCTCGACAAAGACTCTCTACTCCTAACTGCAAAGAACTTCAGCGAGCACGTGGAACATGCTTCACGTGTCCCGAAGCTGACTTACCGCATCAACCGTTCGCGTCTCACCACAACCCAAGCGCACCAGCTTACGCGCCACTCGAAAAGGTGTACAGCGACATCCTGTACAACCGTGAGCCTGGACAAAATGCTTACAATTACACCATCACCTTCATCGACGCAGCCACACGATACGTCTGGCACCTAAATCTTCCAAGCCGCGACATGGCCTTCGAAGCCTTCGTCGCCTGGCTTCCAGTAGCAGAACGAGAATCAGGCGTCAAACTCAAAAGCTTTCAATGAAATGGAGGGGGAGAATACACCTCACAGAGGTTCAAGGAGTACTTGGCAGAGAGAGGAATCAAGCGACTCATCTCCCTTCCCTACGCCCATCAACAGCAAGGCGTAGCAGAAAGGATGAACAGGACCCTCCAGAACACCATGCGCAAGCTGCTACGTGGCATGCACCTGCCCAACCACCAGTGGCCCGAAGCAATGGACCACGCCGTCATGCTGCACAACTTGCTCTCGTCATCATCGCTCCCAAACAACGCATCACCGCATCTGCTGTGGACAGGAAAACTGGGCAGCACAAAAATGTTGAGAGTCTTCGGCTGCATGGTACAGTACCGGCCCCCATCTGCACGAGCCAGCCGATTCTCCCAACGCGCACAGTGGGGACTACACCTGGGCATCGAAAAACATTACAACGCATGGAAGATCTTCGACGTCGAGACAAAAGAAACAGTAGCAGCACGTGATGTCATCTTCTACGAAAACCTCACCCTCCGGTACTACCTCGCCAACTTGCAAGAAGGAAACCCCGATCGCTCCGATGGATTTCTTGGCACCCGAGCCTTCGCTTCGGCAGAAGATGAAGCTGATTGGGACGAGCAGAACGTGGAAGGAGCCTCGGAAGAAGCCGGACCCCTCCCCTACTGCTCCGTCGACGTGCCAATGGATGACGAAAATCCACGCAAAAGCATCAACGCCGAAACCTATTTCCACTTCGCTGACAACGGTTACGTTACACCTGCACAAGTCAACACCGATGAAGCAGAACGCGTAGGACCAAATTTCAATCCCACACCAGAAGCGGGAGACGAAGCTGTCTATCCCGAGGACACATCACTTCCCCGCTACACACAGAGTGGACTCCAGATACTCGGACTCGTCACCGCAGTCCACGGCACGGCCATTCCTAAGGAGCCTGCGACAGTTCAGCAGGCTCTGGGGGGGGAGCATAAGGAAAAATGGCGCGAAGCCATGGACAAGGAGCTGAAAGCACTGGAGGAACGCAACACCTAGAAGGTCGTTCCTATCAGCGTAGCACGGAACAAGACAATTCTCACCGGAAAGTGGGTCTTCCGCGTGAAGACAAAGGCTGACGGCACCATCGACAATTTCAAAGCACGCTGGGTCGTACGCGGCTTCGATCAAGAGCATGGACGAGACTTTACCGAGACGTTCGCTCCAGTAAGTCGGCACACCTCACTTCGAATTCTTCTCGCGATTGCCGCCATGAAGAAGAAGAAGCTACAACAAATCGACGTCGCAAACACATTCCTCTACGCACCTGTTGACGCCGAAATCTTCGTTACGCTAACGCACGGCTCCAACGGAGAGCCTAATCAAGTCTGTCAGTTGCTGAAGTCACTCTACGGTATCAAACAAGCCCCAAGGCTGTGGCAGCAGTACCTACACGCAAGACTCATTCGCATCGGATTCCGTCAGCTACCTCACGACCAAGGCATGTACCGGCTCACAAAGGGAACCGACTACATCCTGCTAATCGTCTACGTCGACGATTTGCTCTACATCGGCTCAACCAACAGCGTCACTACCTGGTTCGAAGGGGAGTTGCAAAGGGATCTCACACTCACGGTCTCGTCCACCGTCACACAGTACCTCGGCCTCAACATCCAGGAAGAAGAAAATGCGATCTACCTCAGCGCCGCGAAATACGCCGATACCATCGCCAAGCGCTTCGCACTCACGCCGACCGCCATCTCCACGCCATACCGCTACACGGCAGGAAACCACAAGGAAGGCTCCGCTCTACTCAAGCCCGCCGGCATACGCGACTACCAGAGGAAGCTGGGATGCCTCCTCTTCGCAGCTGTCACCTGCCGCCCGGACCTATCGTACTCTGCAAGCCAGCTCGCCACCTACCTCAAGAAACCTGAAGCGGAACATCTGGCGGAACTCGACCGCGCTCTTCACTACCTCGTCAGCACCCCAACAATCGGCCTGACCTACCATAAAAAACACGACTACAGCGCCTAAACTAATCGGATACGTCGACGCCGATCACGCCGGCGACTCCGACAACAGACGCTCGCGCACCGGCTATATCTATCGCCTCGAGCCTATTGGACCTATCTCTTGGCAGTCGAGCAAGCAGGAATTAATCGCCCTCTCTTCAGCTGAAGCAGACTATATCGCACTCTGCTCAGCCACCAAGGAAGGACTGTACCTTCGCGAACTCCTGGAGGAAGCCAAGCTAGCCCAGTTACCAAACTTTACCCTGTTCTGCGACAACCAGTCAGCAATTCGCATAGCCAACAAAAATGGTTTCGCAAACAGGACAAAGCACATCGCCCTGCGATATTTCTTCGTGAAGGACGAGATCGAGAAGGGGAGACTCGAACTGTCATACTGCCCCACGTCCGAGATGGCAGCTGACTACCTGACCAAGAAGCTCGGAAAGCAGAAGTTCGAGTACTGCATGCTGCTGACTGGACAGAGCCACGTCACCAACTGCGACACTCCAGAAGCGAAGGGGAGTGTTGGAAACAATTAACTCTAAGCGCCTCTGTCGTGTCGAAACACCAAATCAGAAGCGAGGCGAAGTATATCGAAGCACCGGCGAGTCAACCCTCGGAGGTTGAGCGGTTGCTAGAGGTTACGCGAAAGTCAAAGGTCAGCGACCTTTGACCTGACAAGTACAGCGCGACAGCAAGGACACACAACTGACTCGTTACAGAGCAGTTGCCCGAGTCGTCACTGTATCGAACCGCAACAGCAACAGTAAAGTAGTTGCAACCGTATCTCTTCGTATTCCTTGTACTCTTATATAACCTTGTATCTCTTTGCTTTAATCAATCAACTTTGCCCTCACACACTAGCGCAAGGTGGTTCACAAACTCTTTATTAAAACGCTTCCGCTACTACATCAGTTCTACCCAGAGTTCACTTCTACAAAGATCCTAAGGGCTATTTTCTCACCCAACAACTGGTACGTCAGCCCCTCATTCCACGTCAGCCTGCTTCGCCCTTACGTCCCGTCCACGAGCCAACAGCCACGTAACCGCCCAGCCAGCATGACACGAAAGCCGACTGAACCAATCATCACCCCCGAGAAAATTCTGAGCCACAGAGTTCGTGACCCTCGAGGAGCCCGAAGGATCGAGTTCCTGATCCGCTGGAAAGACCGTACACCCACCGAAGACAACTGGGTTCCCCTGGACAGAATCGAAAACCACCCCGTCCTCATCGAGTATCTGCGCAGCCGAAATTTCAGGGATGTACACGCACTTTCGTAAGGAGGACCTCCTTAGGAGGGGGGGTAGTGTAAGGAAAATTCCTTTTCCTTGCTTCGCGTCCCTGCTCAGCGCGTACACCACTGTAGCACCTCAGTCAGCACCGTTACTACTCGCAACCCTCGCATCGACAATCCTCCCGCCACCTTCGCACGTCGCACCCCGACCTCACGGCTCGGCGGGTAACCCGCGCTCCGGGCCTCCGCTTCGACATTTTCCCCAACCTCAGTCCCAGGCCCGTCGCGCGACAACCACAGTTCATTACCGTTACCACTGTAGTTTCGCTATATATTCTTCGCTCATACCTTTGCTCATTGGACTTGCTTCGATAGTGCAATTCTAGTTCGTTCACTCAATTGCACTCGTAACACTATGAATGTTGTTACGAGTCTAGCATATGCTCTTGGGAAGTACGGTTGTTCAAAAGAGCAGCGAACGTTGTTCCTTGGTAACGTCAGTTCGCCATTTCGCCGAAGCGTACCACTTTCTTCGCCGCCAACCAGACGTACATACACCAACATCAACACCAACCCCACAGCACTACCGCATCTTCTGCCACACAATGGCGGCGCTCCGCTGTCCTCTGCGCTCCCGCGTGATCCCCGCGTATTTGAAATCGCCTTCGGCGGGGCAATCGTCGCTTCCGCTCACCAACCCTCGCGCGCTGACTACCCGCTCCCTTTCCGCCACTCACTCTCTGCGCGGCGCCTTTCCCGCGTCCCGCATTCCTCACGTTCCTCACTCCCCCTTGACAGCTACCAACGGTTCCCGCAATCCGCGCATTTCCCGCATCTCCCCCGTTTCCCCCTCGTGCCGCGATTCCGCGCGATCTCCTCCATCCGCATCGATCCTGCGGGAATCGGCTTCCGCTTCCGCTGCCGCTCCCGCTTCGTTGCTCAACCTGGCGGAAGTGTCCGCGCAGCTTCCGGGGGATCTCTCGGGGTACATGGAGCGAGTCCGCGAGTGCAACGCGGGGCTGGTGAGTGGTGGGTGGGAGAGGGGGAGACGGGGGGAGACGGGGGGTTGAGGGGGGGTTGGGAAGGAGGGTGGGATTGTGAGGGTGCGAGGGTGGGTGGGCGGGTGTGGAGGTGAGGGGTTGTGAGGGTGGGTTGGTGGGGGGCCTGGATAGCTGGTGGGTAGATGGGTAAATGGGTGCCTAAGTTGTTAGCCGTGGCCTTGGTGGTGGGTTGATGTGCCGGATTGGGACATTTCAAAGCATATGCGTGAGTCGCTTGCATGTACGTTTCTTCGCCAGCCATCCCCATCACATCGCCTCGGAAACTCTCACAAGCATGTTGAACTGACAGCATGAAAAAAATCCCTCTTCCTTTGCCCCCCTCTCCATAGGATAACACCCTCTCCCTAGCAGCACAGCTTATAGTGAACCATACACACCCTCGTCTCACCCCACAAACCCGCCGCTTCTCACGCCACCCCCACCCACTTGCCGTGCTAATGCTCACCCCACCCCCGCTTGCCTCATTCGTCTCAGGAGCGTCGGTTGGAGTTCATTCCCTTCATTGTCAACGGGGAGGTTGTGGGGTATATCCACCACAGGTGAGGAGAAAGATTACCAAGGTGGTTATATGAACCAATTTATAGTTGTGGTTATGTAGCGTATTGAAAAGGCAATGAGATGTACACCACAAGTGAGTGCAAGGCTGATGAATGACTGTGTGCCTATAACGCAAGTAATGGCAGTGGTTTTGAAGCATTGAGGTATATCCATCACGACAGGGAGCGCACCCAGCAGCACTGCCACCACCACCACCACCACCACCACCACCACCACCACCACCACCACCACCACCACCACCACCACCACCACCACCACCACCACCACCACCACCACCACCACCACCACCACCACCACCACCACCACCACCACCACCACCACCACCACCACCACCACCACCACCACCACCACCACCACCACCACCACCACCACCACCACCACCACCACCACCACCACCACCACCACCACCACCACCACCACCACCACCACCACCACGCACCTTAACCCGCGCCCTGTCCTCCTGTCTATCCTGTGGCGTTGATCCATTGCAGCTTCTGGCAGCACTTGGAGCCGTTTAAAGACGTCTTTTCCCTGCACCACCACGCACCCAGCACTGCACAAGGTGCTGCTGGTGGGAAGGTGATGTCATTCTCAGGCAGGTTGGAGGCAGCGGGTGCAGCTGAGCGCACAGAGGCGGTGGCAGGGGTGCTGCAGCGGCTGCGCGAGCAAGGCGTGGTGACTGGCTGGCGCAATGAGGTGAGTGGTGAGCGGTGGAGTGCGGTGCGAGGAGAGAGATAGGTGGTGTGCGGTGTGGGGAGGGAGAGAGAGGTGGTGTGCGGTGAGGGGAGAGAGAGGGGGATTGATTCGATCAGACTGCTTTGATGGAAGCCGTTCCTTGCAGTTTCATAGCCTCCTCCTCCCCTGCTTCTCCTCCCCTCTCTTCCATTCCCCCCCTCCCACCCCACTTCCCTCGCCTCGCATCCTATCATTCCTTCTTCTCTTCCTACCCACAGCTCTTCCTTATGTGTCCCTCCTTCCACACCCCACCAGCCTCTCTCATCGAGCGCCCAGCACCGGTCTTTCCCCCAATCCCCCCCCACCTTCCCAACCCCATTTCCCGTTTACCACCACTCCTCTCTTCCCCCCTTCAGCTGTACCCAGTGGGTGCCTCCTTCCAAGCGCCACCAGCCCTCCTCTCCGCCCTTCTTCAATTCTCCTTCACCCCCTTCCCCCCCCAACCCCCCTGCAGCTGTACCCAGTGGGTGCCTCCTTCCACGCGCCACCAGCGTTCCTCATTGAGCGAGCAGCAGCGCCTCTCTTCGGCACCAAGGCATACGGTGTGCACATGAACGGCTTCACACACTTGCCCTCTGCCTCCTCGACTGCATCCTCCTCCTCCTCCTCCTCCTCCTCCTCTCTGCACCTGTGGGTTGCGCGGCGGTCTCCATTAAAGCCCACGTTCCCCAACCAGCTGGATCATTTGGTGGCAGGCGGGCAGGTGAGATTGTGGGAGAGGATGGATGATAGGGCTGATTGAGAGGGGTGACGACGGGGAGAGGGCTGATGGGGGAGTGATAGCTTGATTTGAGGTGCTGCTAAGTAGTGCAGTCGTTACGGGACAAGATGCATAACCCTCTCACTGTCATCATATCCTTCCATTTCCCCTCGCATTTCAACCCCCTCCCTTCCCTTCTTCCCCCCTAAGCCCCACGGCATCAGCTGCAGGGACAACATGATCAAGGAATGTGAGGAGGAGGCAGATATTCCAAGGCACCTTGCGGAGAGGTGAGCACCGGTGCGTTAATGCCAGAAATGGGGCAGAAATTCCTCCTGACCAGAGATGTAACATCCGATAAAATGTGCGAGACATGAGGCGGTGCTTTAGGCTGCTTAGCTTTGCGAGCCAACAGAGGGGGTGCCATCATGCCATGAAAGGAAATGCTGATCTCGAAACCACATAACTGCCCTGGTCGCATGTTGCGAGCTATGTGCTTCCTACGCTGCATGATGTTGTGCTTGCGTCGTTCAATTCCCTCTCTTCTAGATGGCAGAGCATCGCGCATTTTACTGGTTTCTCTGTGGCTTCACCTCAAGTGCGGTTGCTGGCATGCCTAATTTACCCAACTCGTGTTTTCTCGTGATTTTGCTGGTTGGCGCTATGGATGGATTGGGATGGAATGGAATGGGATGGAATGGCATGGGATGGAATGGCATGGGATGCAATGGGATGGGATGGGATGGGATGGAATGGGATGGGATGGGATGGGATGGGATGGGATGGGATGGGATGGGATGGGATGGGATGGGATGGGATGGGATGGGATGGGATGGGATGGGATGGGATGGGATGGGATGGGATGGGATGGGATGGGATGAAATGGGATGGGATGGGATGGAATGGAATGGGATGGGATGAAATGGGATGCGATGGGATGGAATGGGATGGGATGGGATGCAATGGGATGGACTTGACTGGGTGGAGTGAAGGGCAGTGCCGGTGGGGGTGGTGAGCTATGAGATAGTGACAGCAGCCAACACGCTCAAGAGGGATGTGCTCTTCTGCTACGACCTCCTGCTGCCACCCGACTTCACCCCCCGAAACACAGGTGCGTTGCAGCTTGCCTTTGTGAATCGACTCAAAGTCACCTCTTAGCTACGACCTCCTGCTGCTGCCCGACTTCACTCCTAAAAACACAGGTGCCTCTTCCTTGACTTGTCAGTCGCCTTTGAAACCATCCGCGTGTTTGTCCCCTCCCAAGCACCTCTTCCCCGTTAATTGGTCGACTAAAAAACACACCTAAATTTTCTACTACAGAACGACATACAGGTTTTTCATAGCCTCCTAAATTTTTTAGCGCTCAACATTTTTGCTGACCACTGTCAAAATCTGTTGCCGCGCAATGTCTCCAATTGCTGAAAAGTGATGCCCCATGCACCTCTGCCCCTCCATACACCTACATACACCTCCTTCCCAACTACCTCTTCCTTTGCTGCAAGCAGAAAATAGACCTCCGTTTCTCTGTTTCTCCGTTTCTCTGTTTCTCCGTTTCTCTGTTTCTCATTCTCTCCCATCTTTTTCTTCTAATGATTCCCTGACCAACAGATGGGGAAGTGGCGGAGTTTTCCCTGTTGCCAATTAAAGCTGTGGCTAATATCGTGGCCAACACTAAGGAGTACAAGGCAAACTGCAACCTCGTTATTATCGACTTCCTTATAAGACATGGGTGAGTGGAGTGCCATGCTTGCCTACTCCCTCACCTGCCCATGAGATGCCTCATGGAGTGCTTTCCTACTCATGACTCATGACTCATGGCTCGTGACTCGTGACTCGTGAGGATGACTGCAGCGTGTGAAGGTAAAGCTGGTGGTGATTGCAGGGGAGGAGGTGAGAGGGTTTGTGGTGAGGGGTGGTGCAGAGGAGTGGGTGCCTTTGGTGGAGTATTCTTATTTTTTGTGCCTCAAGATACGGTAAGAGTTGCTAGTGTGTGTATCACTGTGGAAGAGAGGACCAGCACACCCATCAAGGGGCCCGCAGTGCTGCTGCTGCGCTGTAACTCTCTCCCAGCCCATCGACTCAGTCGCCCAGATCAAGGCTACTTGCTGCAAGTAACTCCAAGAATACCACAAACGTTCCCTTCTTGTTCCTCTCTTCTCATCCTCTACAACCACCTTATTTTCATCAACACAACCCCCCTTTACGCTGTGTTGTGAATCCCCATTGCACCAGCATGGTTTCTCCAGATTCACAAGGCTATCTCGAGCTGCTGACCGGCCTTCGCCAGGGCTCCTGTGCCTGATTCGTGACCTTTCATTGAAAAACGGTGGAGAATTCTCTAAAGGCCTCCCAGATTAACAATCCTAGCAGGGGGGTGCTTGCAACGTTTTTTGGGGTTAGATGGACCATTGAAATGGTAATAGCACTTTGATACTTGCAACATCTGCCAATCAGTCTGGGAGTTGCTACAACAGAGAGGTCGTGATTTTATAATGCATGTCCTGCGGACCACCGAAATACAACTCCCTCCTGAGAACCTGAAATGAGCCCCATGCACAAATCGTCTGGCAGGTCTTTTCCCAGATCCCTTGCCTCCTCCGAGAGACACTCCTACACGGTGCACATGCACCTTTTGAGTAGTTGCAAATTTGAGTTGCATACTCATGGCAGTCTGTGTGGCAGTGGTATGTCAATTACTCCAATATATGCCACCTCCTTAAAGCCGGAAGCCCAAATTGCACAAGTTTTAAAAGGATGACGCGAGGGGTTTTTTCTGGTTTGGGTTTTGGCGAGTGATTCCGATTTCGGGCATTTCGTTTTTTTCGCCTAACCCAGCCAACCCACGTATTTCGCCCTGGGGGTTGTGTCAGCACCCGAAAGTCCCAAATTGCAGGTGCGCTGCTTTTCAAAGCTTGCACACTGCACTTCATCAAGTTTTAAAAGCATGATCCACGTGCCTCGCAATTTGGGACTCGGGCTTTAAGGAATCACTCCTGCACCGAGCACCTTTTGAGAATCATCAGAACTCATTCTGACATATGGTACCCGTGCAGGTCTGTGTGGCATGTCAGTTACTCCAGCATACGCTGCCTTTCTCGAGAATCACGCCCGCACGCAGCAAGGCGCTTCGATCCCTTGCCTCAATCTTGCTCGCCTCCACGTTCAAATGCCGCAACCTCGGGAAGCTTCCCAGTAATTGCCCAACGGTGGCTGCAGTGATGGCACCGCATCCAACCATGCTCAACCGCGTGAGACCCTCCAGCCTGCTTTGTGCGAGCACCCGGTCTGAGAAGCAGTCATTGTTTTCCACCACCAGTGATTCCAAAACGGGACAGGCGCGGAGCAGCACTAGCATCTGCTCCTCCCCCAAACCAGAGCAAGATAGCAGCGAGAGTTCCTTCAACCTTCTGAAAGCAGCTGCGAGTGAGAAGGACTCGTAGGACTGAGGCTGGGCACTTGGGCTCGAAACGGGAAGTGAAGAGGAACAAGATGAGCAGGAGGGTGGGCTGGGAGAGGTGAGGCACATGGGAGGGGATGTAGAGGGGAGGTGCTGAGACAGCCAGGTAGGCTCGGGAGTGGTGGTGAAGTGAAAACTCTGAAGACATAAGGCAGTCAGGGGAGGGCAGATCACTTCCACAGGGATTCCAGAAACGCTTTTTCTCGTCGTATCGGTCTGTTGCCCGGCCGTGTTTGTGTTAACAGATGTGTCTGCGTTTCTGCTGATTGAATCTTGGCTGCCCTTTGACTTGCTGCCACTGCTCATGTTTCCCAGGCTTGTAACCTCTTCCTTTTCCTGCAATGCATCTTCGTGCCTTACCTCTCCTTGCATCCTTGTCCCTTGCTGTGACGCTTTGAAAACTGCTCTGTTCACTTGCCCCCCTCTTGCTGCTGCATCGCCTATGACTGCTGTCCCATCTGCTGCTGCCGCACATGCAGCACCAGGGACACCACCCCCTACTGAAGCAGCAGCATCCGCACCAGCAACAGCAGCAGCAGCCGCACCAGCAGCAGAAGCAGCAACATCGCCACCTGCTGCTGTTGCGGGACGCCCAGCACCATTACGAGCCACGCGCGTGCGCATGTGTTCAAAGACCTCAAACGTCGTCCTCCTCTCATCAACCAGTTGCAGCATTAACGCCCGCATTACATTTAAAGCCCGTGCACGAGGACTCATGTTCCCCGCAGCAGCCTCCCCCTCTCTCTCACCACCATCACCATCACCATCTCTCCCATTCACAGCCACAGCGGTATCAAGCAGTATCCCATCGATCTCTTCAAGCAGCGTCGCTCCTCCTTCGCCCTCTTCTTCCCAAATATCCCTCTTCACAAACACGCCTGCAGCTTCGGCAGCGAAAAACGCCTCAATCATCGCATCCTCCCTCTCTGTCGCTACAGCTTGCTCCGAAATCGCCACACGCAGCGACCGACACAAGGCGAGAGCGGACCTAATGATGGTAGTTGCTGATTCGATCTCGCTTAGGGTGCTCTCACCCCACGGATCATCGGCTCTAGCGGCTTTGATGAACACGCCTCTTATGACCTCGTTGGCCTCCTTCATTAGCTTTAACGCGCAATTGCGCGCCGCGATCAGGTCTGCATGCGCGGCTGCTGCTGCTGTTCGAATATCCACATACATATACTCATATTCATACTCCCTCCTCCCTTCGTTCCTTGAGTCGACAACAATTGTTGGTGCTACTGCTGCTGATGTAGTAGCTGTGCTTTCTATTCCCTCTCGTGCTGAAGCGGCTGCAGCAGCAGAATCCATAGTTTCTACAGCCCCCTCACTCTTGCCTGCCTCCACTGCTTCCCTTTCCTTCACCTCACCCTCCTCCCCACCCTTTGCACCGTCATCTTTACACTCCACTCCCACTGCCCCCTCTCCCCCTTCCCTCCACACCACCACCACCAGCATACTCACAAGGCTCTCAAGAGACACCTGCTGAATCGTTCTCGACGTTCCTCCCCCCATCAAACCCACCTCTCGCACGCCCACACTTCGATCCCCAGTCACCCAAGCCACCTCCCACCCCCACTTCAATCGTTTCATTTCCTCCCCAGCCTCATTCTCACAAGCCCTGACGCTGAGACCCGACGCAACCTCCCACCTACCTGTGATCGTCAAAGACTGTAGGCCACTGCAGCGAGCAAGCAGGCCGGGGCGGAATGAGGGCAGCCCTGAGAATGACAGCGAGTGCAGGTGGGAGGGAGGGGCGCGCAGGAAAGACCAGAGGCCTTGTGCGCTGAAGAGGTGATATGTGGTGCTGTGGAGGGAGAGGGAGGAGAGGGCTGGGTTGGCTTGGGCAAGGGTGGCGATGGAGTGGCTGGAGACCAAGGGGCAGTCAATAATGCCCAGTTCAGTGAGCGTGTGGAGGGAGCGAGAGAGGGCTTGCATCTCGAAAGGGTCGATGCTGCAGGAGTGGAGGTTCAGGGAGGAGAGGGAGGGGAAGGAGGCAAGAGGAGCGAGGCAGGCCACTAGTTTCGCTGATTCGAGATTGAGGGTTTTTAGGGTGGGGCGGAGAGAGGAGGAGGAGGCGAGGGAGGAGAGGGTGGAGAGGGGGGGGTTGAAGAGGGAGAGAGACGTGAGGGAGGAGCAATGGGGAAGGGAGTCGAGAGGAGGGGCGTGGAGGAGGAGGGAGAGGGAGTGGAGGGCGGGGAAGGCATCGAATGGAGGGACGGAGAGGTGGTTGTTGTTATTCCTGTGGATCCAGCAACGATCCCACGGGGAGTCGAAAGTGAGCGACGTCAAGAGGCTGATGAGGGGAAAGGAGGGAAGAATTGGAGGGGACGGGAGTGGGGGAAGCGGAACAGGGGAAGGGGAGACGAAAGGGAGAAAGCAGAATGGAATGGGGAGCTTGGGTGAACGGGGTCGGGGGTTGAGAAGGTTGGGGGTGAGGGGGGACATTAAGGAGAGAGGGGAAACGAGCAGGGTGAATGGAGAGAGAGGCGGGGGAGAAGCAGGGAGAGGCGGGAGAGCAGGGGGAAGGGGGGAGAACAGGGAAAGAGGGGTAGAAGGGAAGAGCGCAGTGGAAGAAGGGGGAGATTGGGATTTAAGAGAAGAGGGGGAAGAGGGGGGGGATGGAAAGGGGGAAACAGGAAGACAGGAAACGACAGAGGGGAGAGGCTGAGTGAACAGGGCATAAGGGAAGGGCACGGAGGGCAGGGGAAAGAGGGGAGATCGGACGTGAAAGGGCAAGAAGGGCTGAAGGCAGCGGGGAGACAGGGAGAGGGCAGAGGGAAGGGAGGAAGAAGACAGGGAAGAAAGCCGGAGATTGAGAGCACCGAAAAAAGAGGGGAAAGCGCAGGGGAGCAGGGGAGAGAGTGGTGGGGGGGGAAAGGGGGGGGGGGGAAGGAGACGCAGCGAGAAAGATGGAAAAGGACGAGGGAGAAGGCATATTGGGAAAAGTGGGGAAATGGCAGCGGGAGCAAGGTGGGAGAATGGGAAAGAACAGGGACAAGAGCGGGAGGGAGGGGGGGAAAAGGGGGGAGGGGAGGTGGAAACACAGGCGACGGCAGAGGGGAGAATGGGAAAGGGCAAGGGGGAAAGGGCAAGGGGGAAAGGGCAAGGGGGAAAGGGGAGGAGTGCTCTAAAAAAACAAACGAGCACAAGGGGGAAGAAGGGGTTGGGGAGGGGGAAGAAGGGGTTGGGGAGGGGCAAGAAGGGGTTGGGGAGGGGCAAGAAGGGGTTGGGGATTGGCAAGGAGGGGGAACGGAGGGGAGAAGGCAGAGTTTGTAAAACACCTACGCGATACAGGTTGGGCCCTACTATAACTCATGGGCATTGCTTGGCGAGCTTCAGTGCAGCAATATCATTTTTTAGTTTACTCGGAACGGGGAGAGGGAGGGGTGGGGAGGGGAAGGGGAAGGCAGGGGATGGGGTTGGGGCCAATAGTGTATGTTGGTAGTACAACTCACGGGCATTGCTTCGCGAGCTTCACCAATACAGCATCGTTCAGGAAAAACCACGCCCATATCCCCACCACACTCAACCGCTCCAGTTTCGGGCACGCCGCGCCAACTTCCCTCAGCAGCTCGTTTCCCGCCGGATTCGTACAAACCTCGACAGTCAGCTCACGAATATGGGTAAATACCCCCGAAAATCTATCAAAATCTTGGGACCACCCGTTTCTGTTGGGATTCGGAGAGAGTGAGATGAACTTGAGGTGGGGCGTGCGGCGGGAGAGGCGGCGGAGGCGGGAGCAGGAGAGAGAGACGCTGCAGCGATCGTGGGAACGATCCAGAAGGGTGAGAGTTAGGGTTAGGAGCTCGTCGGGGAGTGAAAACAGAAGACAGTCGTGCGGATCGTCCTCGGGAGATGATTTGAGTCGTGAGCCTTTCATAATTGCAGATTGGCAAGGCGACGAGGAGCAGTTAGGGTTACCACGGTGATGCGAAGGCCACGAAGCGTAGTTGCCTGGTAGCAGGTTCTGCGCAAGTTGAAGTGGAACGTAAAAATGGAATCAACGAACTGGCCAAGGCAAAAACTGACTAATACGCAGACCACGAACTGGCATAGGCAAAAACAGCCACTTGACGTTTTCTCGCCTAATGATTCATCCACACAGGCAACAGAACAGATCCCACTAGATTCGGTTCGGTGAGTTTCAAAGCAGCCAAGTTCTGTCCGCGTTATGATTAGATGTGAATTGTACCGTAGGTGGCGTAGCCTCCAAAGTTGTCTAATCTAGTTGCTTGCATGATTTTTTTCCAAGATGGCGTGAAGCAGCATAAATTACTAGATAGTTACCTACATGCTTGCACAAAGCTTACGGATGCGCAATTACCGCAACAAGAGAGAGTGCAAGAAACAACTGGTTACCCGATTCTCTAGGAGTCAACGCAATAGTGCATACTCGTCCAAAGAGAAAGGCTAAACAAGGTCAATAGCCCCTGGGAGTATTCTGCTCTGCTCAGGGTGTGGGCAGGTAGGGCACAACAACCATGCAAAGCGGTGCAATCCACGCAAAATGAACCCCATCACCATGTCACCGGGTATGGTTACCACATGGGATAGGGTGGGTAAGGTGAGCATGAGGGCACAGGGGTGAATCCTAGCACGATGTAACCAGATACGGTTACCACCTGGAATGGAGTGGGTAAAGAGAGCATGAGGGGAGAAAGGCAGTGGTAAGGTGTAAGCAGACAGAAAGAGAGCATGGTGGGAGAAAGGGAGAGGAAGGTGAGACATGCAAGCAGGCTACTCTTCAGCAGACTTAAAAGCTAATCCCGCTGAATGAGAACAGATGAGACTTCAATGCAATTCAAGCTAAATGTCACAAGATTTGAATGTCAATGTCCTGTAACTGAGCTATTCCATATGAGGCGTGCTCCATAACCCTACACAGTGTGAAGACGGGGATGGTAATCAGATGAGTAGGAAAGGCAAGTGGAAGAACCATAACACTATAGTACGGAGCGAAGATTGAGCCACAATGCAAGGACCCACAGGTACCCGAGCTTCAGTTTGAACCCTGAACCCGAGTTTGAGTCGACTCGGAACACTGCCAACTCTCTCTTTCTTCCTTGTGTGGATGTGCTCACACAAGGAAGGCGAACCCTGAACCCTAGATTCTGAACGATCAGAATGAAATCAGACCACACCCCAACGAGCCCCAATCCCCAACAACTGCCGATCCCCAGCGCCCTCCATATCCCCAAACGCACATCCAGGGATCCCGAGCTGGGATTCGCGCGTGGGCAGTTCTTCATCCCTCCCGCCCCCAAAGTACCTGTCATTGCCCACCTCAAGCCCTCAGGTACCTGCCATTCGAGTCGACCCGATGTTACTTACCACACACACCACAGACTCACAATCCCCACCACAACGCCCTTCCTATCCCCAAACGCACATCCAGGGATCCCGAGCTGGGATTCGCGTGCGGACAGATCTTCATCCCTCCCCCGAAGTAGTTAGCGTTGCCCACTGCGACCCAACCCCCAGCTCACCAACCCCAGCACACCAACCCCCAACCCCAAACGCACATTCAGAGAGCCTGCGCCGGGATTCAGATTCGGACAGATCTTCATCCCTCCCCCGAAGTAGTTAGCGTTGCCCACTGCGACCCAACCCCCAGCTCACCAACCCCAGCACACCAACCCCCAACCCCAAACGCACATTCAGAGAGCCTGCGCCGGGATTCAGATTCGGACAGATCTTCATCCCTCCCCCGAAGTAGTTAGCGTTACCCACTGCGACCCAACCCCCAGCTCACCAACCCCCCCCCCCCACCCTAAACGCACATCGAGGGATCCCGAGCTGGGATTAGCGCGTGGGCAAATCTTCATCCCTCCCCAAAAGTAGCTAGCGGTGCCCACCTTGACCGCCATCTATCCCAGCGCCCCGCAGCCCTAAACGCACGTCCTGGGATCCCGAGCAGGGATTTGCATGCGGGCAGATCTTCATGCCTTCCCCGTAGAAGTTAGCGTTGCCCACCGCAATGGTGGTGACAGCTGGGAGGGTTTCCCAGGGGCCGCTGTCTCTCTGTGAACACGGAGAGGAAATAGGGGGGGGGTGCATTTGGGGAGGGGAGAAGAACGATACGGATCTTTATTTTTCATGCCGCCTCCATAGTAGTTGGCGTTGCCCAGCGCGATCGTGGTGACTGCCGGGAGGGTCTCCCAGGGGCCGTTGTCTCTCTGCGGGCATGGAGAAGAGGGGGGGGGGTGTAGTTGGGGTGGGAAGGGAATCGGTGAAGGGGAAATGAAATATCCCTCCCCCATTGTAGTTAGCGTTGCCCACCGCGATTGTGGTGACTGCTGGGAGGGTCTCCCAGGGGCCGTTGTCCCTCTGAGGAATGTGCAAGGAGGAAGGAAGGGAAGGAAGAAAGGAGGGCAGAGGCGAGAAGGATGTTGAGGTTGGGGGGGCTGCCTAGAGCAACTGCGGTGGGGGCTGGATGGGTCCTGAGAGCACCTCTTCAGGAGCAAAGAGCCAAGGGAGGTGCTCTCTGAGATGACACACAGCCAGAGGCCAAGGGACAATTGAGTCGACTCTAAAATCAAAGCGTCAGGAGCAAAGGGCCAAGGGAGATGTTCTCTAGAGATGACACAGAGCCAGAGGCCAAGGGACAATTGAGTCGACTCTAAAATCAAGTCGTCAGGAGCAAAGGGCCAAGGGAGATGTTCTCTAGAGATGACAGAGAGCCAGAGGCCAAGGGAGGAATGACAGGGTGGGAGGAGGGTAGGAGCTTCTCGTGGTGGTGGTGGAGGGGAAGGCTGGGCAGTGAAGGAGTAAGATGAGAGGATGAGAGGCTGAGAGGCTGATAGGCTGAGGGGCTGAGAAGCGGAGATGCTGAGAGGGTGTGCTGTGCTTCCTGCTTGACTATGGCATCTCGCCCTGCTTGACTATGGCATCTCGCCCTGCTTGACTATGGCATCTCGCCCTGCTTGACTATGGCATCTCGCCCTGCTTGACTATGGCATCTCGCCCTGCTTGACTATGGCATCTCGCCCTGCTTGACTATGGCATCTCGCCCTGCTTGACTATGGCATCTCGCCCTGCTTGACTATGGCATCTCGCCCTGCTTGACTATGGCATCTCGCCCTGCTTGACTATGGCATCTCGCCCTGCTTGACTATGGCATCTCGCCCTGCTTGACTATGGCATCTCGCCCTGCTTGACTATGGCATCTCGCCCTGCTTGACTATGGCATCTCGCCCTGCTTGACTATGGCATCTCGCCCTGCTTGACTATGGCATCTCGCCCTGCTTGACTATGGCATCTCGCCCTGCTTGACTATGGCATCTCGCCCTGCTTGACTATGGCATCTCGCCCTGCTTGACTATGGCATCTCGCCCTGCTTGACTATGGCATCTCGCCCTGCTTGACTATGGCATCTCGCCCTGCTTGACTATGGCATCTCGCCCTGCTTGACTATGGCATCTCGCCCTGCTTGACTATGGCATCTCGCCCTGCTTGACTATGGCATCTCGCCCTGCTTGACTATGGCATCTCGCCCTGCTTGACTATGGCATCTCGCCCTGCTTGACTATGGCATCTCGCCCTGCTTGACTATGGCATCTCGCCCTGCTTGACTATGGCATCTCGCCCTGCTTGACTATGGCATCTCGCCCTGCTTGACTATGGCATCTCGCCCTGCTTGACTATGGCATCTCGCCCTGCTTGACTATGGCATCTCGCCCTGCTTGACTATGGCATCTCGCCCTGCTTGACTATGGCATCTCGCCCTGCTTGACTATGGCATCTCGCCCTGCTTGACTATGGCATCTCGCCCTGCTTGACTATGGCATCTCGCCCTGCTTGACTATGGCATCTCGCCCTGCTTGACTATGGCATCTCGCCCTGCTTGACTATGGCATCTCGCCCTGCTTGACTATGGCATCTCGCCCTGCTTGACTATGGCATCTCGCCCTGCTTGACTATGGCATCTCGCCCTGCTTGACTATGGCATCTCGCCCTGCTTGACTATGGCATCTCGCCCTGCTTGACTATGGCATCTCGCCCTGCTTGACTATGGCATCTCGCCCTGCTTGACTATGGCATCTCGCCCTGCTTGACTATGGCATCTCGCCCTGCTTGACTATGGCATCTCGCCCTGCTTGACTATGGCATCTCGCCCTGCTTGACTATGGCATCTCGCCCTGCTTGACTATGGCATCTCGCCCTGCTTGACTATGGCATCTCGCCCTGCTTGACTATGGCATCTCGCCCTGCTTGACTATGGCATCTCGCCCTGCTTGACTATGGCATCTCGCCCTGCTTGACTATGGCATCTCGCCCTGCTTGACTATGGCATCTCGCCCTGCTTGACTATGGCATCTCGCCCTGCTTGACTATGGCATCTCGCCCTGCTTGACTATGGCATCTCGCCCTGCTTGACTATGGCATCTCGCCCTGCTTGACTATGGCATCTCGCCCTGCTTGACTATGGCATCTCGCCCTGCTTGACTATGGCATCTCGCCCTGCTTGACTATGGCATCTCGCCCTGCTTGACTATGGCATCTCGCCCTGCTTGACTATGGCATCTCGCCCTGCTTGACTATGGCATCTCGCCCTGCTTGACTATGGCATCTCGCCCTGCTTGACTATGGCATCTCGCCCTGCTTGACTATGGCATCTCGCCCTGCTTGACTATGGCATCTCGCCCTGCTTGACTATGGCATCTCGCCCTGCTTGACTATGGCATCTCGCCCTGCTTGACTATGGCATCTCGCCCTGCTTGACTATGGCATCTCGCCCTGCTTGACTATGGCATCTCGCCCTGCTTGACTATGGCATCTCGCCCTGCTTGACTATGGCATCTCGCCCTGCTTGACTATGGCATCTCGCCCTGCTTGACTATGGCATCTCGCCCTGCTTGACTATGGCATCTCGCCCTGCTTGACTATGGCATCTCGCCCTGCTTGACTATGGCATCTCGCCCTGCTTGACTATGGCATCTCGCCCTGCTTGACTATGGCATCTCGCCCTGCTTGACTATGGCATCTCGCCCTGCTTGACTATGGCATCTCGCCCTGCTTGACTATGGCATCTCGCCCTGCTTGACTATGGCATCTCGCCCTGCTTGACTATGGCATCTCGCCCTGCTTGACTATGGCATCTCGCCCTGCTTGACTATGGCATCTCGCCCTGCTTGACTATGGCATCTCGCCCTGCTTGACTATGGCATCTCGCCCTGCTTGACTATGGCATCTCGCCCTGCTTGACTATGGCATCTCGCCCTGCTTGACTATGGCATCTCGCCCTGCTTGACTATGGCATCTCGCCCTGCTTGACTATGGCATCTCGCCCTGCTTGACTATGGCATCTCGCCCTGCTTGACTATGGCATCTCGCCCTGCTTGACTATGGCATCTCGCCCTGCTTGACTATGGCATCTCGCCCTGCTTGACTATGGCATCTCGCCCTGCTTGACTATGGCATCTCGCCCTGCTTGACTATGGCATCTCGCCCTGCTTGACTATGGCATCTCGCCCTGCTTGACTATGGCATCTCGCCCTGCTTGACTATGGCATCTCGCCCTGCTTGACTATGGCATCTCGCCCTGCTTGACTATGGCATCTCGCCCTGCTTGACTATGGCATCTCGCCCTGCTTGACTATGGCATCTCGCCCTGCTTGACTATGGCATCTCGCCCTGCTTGACTATGGCATCTCGCCCTGCTTGACTATGGCATCTCGCCCTGCTTGACTATGGCATCTCGCCCTGCTTGACTATGGCATCTCGCCCTGCTTGACTATGGCATCTCGCCCTGCTTGACTATGGCATCTCGCCCTGCTTGACTATGGCATCTCGCCCTGCTTGACTATGGCATCTCGCCCTGCTTGACTATGGCATCTCGCCCTGCTTGACTATGGCATCTCGCCCTGCTTGACTATGGCATCTCGCCCTGCTTGACTATGGCATCTCGCCCTGCTTGACTATGGCATCTCGCCCTGCTTGACTATGGCATCTCGCCCTGCTTGACTATGGCATCTCGCCCTGCTTGACTATGGCATCTCGCCCTGCTTGACTATGGCATCTCGCCCTGCTTGACTATGGCATCTCGCCCTGCTTGACTATGGCATCTCGCCCTGCTTGACTATGGCATCTCGCCCTGCTTGACTATGGCATCTCGCCCTGCTTGACTATGGCATCTCGCCCTGCTTGACTATGGCATCTCGCCCTGCTTGACTATGGCATCTCGCCCTGCTTGACTATGGCATCTCGCCCTGCTTGACTATGGCATCTCGCCCTGCTTGACTATGGCATCTCGCCCTGCTTGACTATGGCATCTCGCCCTGCTTGACTATGGCATCTCGCCCTGCTTGACTATGGCATCTCGCCCTGCTTGACTATGGCATCTCGCCCTGCTTGACTATGGCATCTCGCCCTGCTTGACTATGGCATCTCGCCCTGCTTGACTATGGCATCTCGCCCTGCTTGACTATGGCATCTCGCCCTGCTTGACTATGGCATCTCGCCCTGCTTGACTATGGCATCTCGCCCTGCTTGACTATGGCATCTCGCCCTGCTTGACTATGGCATCTCGCCCTGCTTGACTATGGCATCTCGCCCTGCTTGACTATGGCATCTCGCCCTGCTTGACTATGGCATCTCGCCCTGCTTGACTATGGCATCTCGCCCTGCTTGACTATGGCATCTCGCCCTGCTTGACTATGGCATCTCGCCCTGCTTGACTATGGCATCTCGCCCTGCTTGACTATGGCATCTCGCCCTGCTTGACTATGGCATCTCGCCCTGCTTGACTATGGCATCTCGCCCTGCTTGACTATGGCATCTCGCCCTGCTTGACTATGGCATCTCGCCCTGCTTGACTATGGCATCTCGCCCTGCTTGACTATGGCATCTCGCCCTGCTTGACTATGGCATCTCGCCCTGCTTGACTATGGCATCTCGCCCTGCTTGACTATGGCATCTCGCCCTGCTTGACTATGGCATCTCGCCCTGCTTGACTATGGCATCTCGCCCTGCTTGACTATGGCATCTCGCCCTGCTTGACTATGGCATCTCGCCCTGCTTGACTATGGCATCTCGCCCTGCTTGACTATGGCATCTCGCCCTGCTTGACTATGGCATCTCGCCCTGCTTGACTATGGCATCTCGCCCTGCTTGACTATGGCATCTCGCCCTGCTTGACTATGGCATCTCGCCCTGCTTGACTATGGCATCTCGCCCTGCTTGACTATGGCATCTCGCCCTGCTTGACTATGGCATCTCGCCCTGCTTGACTATGGCATCTCGCCCTGCTTGACTATGGCAT